CCAGTAACTGGTAAGAAATTGTTAATTCACCATCTCATGACAGAAAATCAAAGAGAGAGAGAGGAAGAGAGAAAGAGGGAAGGAGAAGGGAGGGGGAGAGAAAGAGAGAGGGAGAGAGGAAGAGAAGTGGGGGTAAAGGGATGCTGAACTCTCATGGCTGACTCACTTCTTATAGACTTCATCTCTAAATATTGTTACAAAGGGAATTACGTTTTAACATGAGTTTTGAAGGCCACCAATATTCAAATCACAGCGTACAGGATGAGAAGGAAAATGAAGATCAGGCAAGATGTCACCGCTTATTGAAAAGTTAGACAAAAAGAAAGAGTTAATACACAGATTGTCTACCTGGACACAGCTTCCTTCTGCTGTGAGGGCTCCATGGAGTGCTGTAGCAAAGCTGCTTTGGAAAGGGCTTCTCCGAGGCCTGATACAGCCTAATTAATACAAGGAAATGGACGTGAGTCTCATTTCTCATTTACATAACTGGAAAGTTTATTCAGACATGATATAGAGAAAATAGCACTTGGAGTAAGGCAAAAATGTGATTAACAGCTTCTACTGATCTAAAATACTCCTCAACATAATAAACAGGATTCTGTTCTGTTTTATCTGTAGGTATACAGTTACTTTGGGCTGAGATCCCAACCTGCAGGTTAGTAGAGCAAATGTCTGAAATCCAAAATATCTTTCGAAAACATCACTGTGATCTCAAGTACTATTAAAAGGTCTAGAGATAAAATTCCATAATCTGATTCAAGTAAGGGAGATATAGTATTATCAACCAATCAAATGAAGGTTTGTGGGACCCTCCCAGAAGTTGGGCTCTGTGATAGGCTGTATAGAAATGCCCCCATCTAGTTCATCCTCTTCTTCTCCTTAGTTATCTCTTACTTTCCCCCTGCCTTCAGCATTATCCAGTTCTAAGCTCTTCTCCATAGGGTAGGGATATAGCAGAACCAATCACTGAAAGCAGATTTCCCTCACCTCAAAAATCTGGATTAGATTCTTCTCACTTGCTTACATCTTGATCCTAACACTGAGTTATCTATCATGATGAGCTAAAATTATTTACCCTGAGCTTCCTCAAGGTCTGGAAGAATATTTTAATTATCTCTGGATTCCCATCCCAGTACCTGGGACATATAGCTATAGAATAAAGAATAAAGAATGTTGAGTAACTGAATGAATGACTACAACCAATAGACAACCAAAAGAGCCACCATCTCTTTCTCTCAGCAGTGAAGCTTTAAAACAGGAAGTATCACTGGATTAAAAAGGTGTGAACTCATCCTATTATAAGGAACCCTCTCCTGGGATAAAGACATTAATACATAATGAAGAAATTATACTTACATTTAGGAAGTTTTCAAAGTAGTGAAAGTAGTACAGATGGATACCTTTCTGCTTAGTGTTCCATCATGTACACCCATCCCTTTGTTTGAGCATTTAAACTTCCTGGACTACAGTGAACACAAGGAGGCTGGCATGACAAGCCTTGTAACAGCTAATCAGGGATCACAAAGTTCATACATCATCAGAAGAGTAATCCAGGCTCTCTTTCATATTCAGATATTTACTTTACCTGTAATTCTAAGACTTGGATTTCTATCACAAAAATCAGTCAGAGACAGAGACAGAGACAGAGAGAGAGAGAGAGAGAGAGAGAGAGAGAGAGAGAGAGAGGCACTCTGGTTTGTATGTGTGTGTGTGAGAGAAAGAGAGAGAGAGACAGGCACTCTGGTTTATGTGTGTGTTTGAGTGTATGTGTGTGTGTGAGAGAGAGAGGCGCTCTAGTTTGTGTGTGTGTGTGTGTGTGTGTGTGTCTGTGAGAGAGAGAGAGAGAGAGAGGCACTCTGGTTTGTGTGTGTGTGTGTGAGAGAGAGAGAGAGAAACAGAGAGAGAGAGATAGGCACTCTGGTTTATGTGTGTGTTTGAGTATATGTGTGTGTGAGAGAGAGAGGAGCTCTAGTTTGTGTGTCTGTGTGTGTGTCTGTGTGTGAGAAGAGAGAGAGAGAGACAGAGCGAGAGAGACAGGTGCTCTGGTTTATGTGTGTGTGTGTGTGTGTGTGTGTGTGTGTGTGTGTGTGTGTGTGAGAGAGAGAGAGAGAGAGAGAGAGAGAGACAGAGAGAGAGACAGAGAGAGAGAAAAAAGGCATATTTAATAAAGGAGAGAGCCTTCCCTCACAGTGAAAATAATAAATTTCAAGCTGATTACTTTGTGTTCAGTAAGTGCATACAAGGCAAATAAACAGACATTTTAAAAAGGCTTTTTCTTCTATCAAAATGGCTAAAATGTCAGTAAAAAGTGACCCTAAGAGAATAAGCTTCAGATATTTGAAAAATGCACTGTGTGAAGCACTTTGTTTTCTACTGCTATGGAATAAACAGCAAGTGTGTGCGTGTGGGTGGTGAAATCACCCACAGGCAGAGCTTGCCTAGAAACCAAGCCCAGTACTCTCCCTTGAGAAAGTTTCCTGCAGGAAGAATGTTGTCTCCAGTCTGACACCTTCAGCCGTTGAGATTAACATATCCTACTCTATGCTGACTCTTCAGATGCTTTCAAACTTTGGATCAATTAGTTTTCCCTTCCTATTTTTTCCATTGTAACTTTGGATTCAGGCTGTCTAGCTTTCCAGGCACATGTTGCCATAGGAAACTCTATTTGTTGAGGGTGGAGTGGTTGTTTTTGGCAGATTGGGGGAGGAACAATTAAGTCTAATAGATATATTGTACATTAAATGCTTGGTCTTTCTGAACATTTTTTTAATAAATTCCCTTCTCTACCGAGATGACCTATTAAGCCCAGGAAAGACGCTTCTAGAAATCACTGGAATCATTGCAATCAAGGCCTTGTGGGACTTAGTGAGGATCACAAAGTCAGGTCACTCATTTTCCAAGATCTTTCAGTAGTGCTCTTGAGATAAGAAGCCATTTATGTTGAAGATAATGCAAAGATTTCTCAGGATTCTTTATTAAACTCATTCAAAAGCACAATCATTCTCATGAAAAGGACGATAACTTTATCCCTACCTTTCTTTCTATGTTATGAAAAACATATAAGTAGGAAAAGTACTTTGGGTGCTCTGTGGATTTTTATAGGCAATTACATGGAAAAGAAAAAATGAACAGATTAAGTTTTGCCAATGAGTCAGTCAAAGTTGGAAGAAAAGCAATAGATGCAGTATTAGACAAGTAAAATATACTCCAAATACTTGAAGAAGAAAAGGAAAACTAGGGAACCTTACCAGATGCTTCTGATCCTCCCTGGAAGGACCTAGGAGGTAATAAGGATATCTGAGTTATGTTTTGACTGCAATTGTTTGACTGTAATTTTGAACCTGGGTCCTGATTGTATAGTTGTTCCAAGTTCTCTAGAGCCAGAGTAACTGGCATTAACTGTGTTAAAGACCAATACTCATCCTAGAATCTTTATCTTTTATCCTAGGCAGGCCTGTGTTGAAAACAGAATTCATTTTCACTTCCTGCTCTTAACTGACATTTCTGTGCAGCTGTGCAGCAGCTGTTGAGTTCCACCCCACAAGTAGCAGCTTTTCAGTGGTTGGCAGACTGGTATACATCTGGAATGAGACGTTCAAATGACCTCAGGACCCCATAGAATAAATCAAAACATTGAAGTAATAACTTGGATGAGCATGTTCTGACGTAACTCAACTGCGGGAAATTATTTAATGTCCATTTTTTAGTTGAGTGATCCATCTCATCAAAGCATAGTGACATAGGGAATAGTTTTCCATTTAACATTTAAAGAGGGTGGGGTCAGAAAGTTATTTCAGCAAATAAACTGGAATGTGACCTCCAAACTGTAGAATTCTGGGACTCCAGGAGTTTCTTTGTGAGACATTTCCAAAGGGTTTACATTTGGGCATTAGCTCAGAAGAGTAGGCAGCCAATGTTATTGAGCATGTGTGTTTGGGAAGGTGGGGGTTGCCAATGGACCTCCCAGCATGCTGTGGGGCAGTGTTTTGCTCCATAGCTAGTTCTCAGCAGAAACAAAGCATTAGGCTTCTTAGCTATTTTTTAACCACTTGTTGCTGTTCTTATCACACATTCCCTTTTGAGGTAAAATACTCCATTAACTCTGGGTTCTCCTGGGCCCCTTTCCCATTTTGGTCCCTGTTAACTTGCAGAAGTAAGTGTAGATGGAAGTAGTTTAGCTGTATGTGTTTGACTCTCTGTCTAGCTGCTGTGCGACAGGTAGCTGCATTTTCTGTTCCAGGACTCCTGTGCTCAACCCTAGGATCACTACACTCTGGATAGACATCACCTGAGTCTTCACAGCACACAAGGACTGCACTGCTAGGGTCTCTAAGTGCTAGTCAGCAGTGCACCAGGAGAAGGGCTAAACGGTGTGGTTTTTTGAAAACCCCACAAAGCCAAGATAGGTTACACCTAATGCCAAGCTCTGTGTGACCCTGGCCTTGTGACTTCTTGTCATGTCTATGTGTCCCTGTTCATGCCCTGATAAATTGGGATGTCTAAAGCCAATCCTGGCAGGCATTGAGATGAATACCTGTAATCCTAGCACTCAGGAGGCTGCGGCAAGAGGATTTCTGTAAGTTTGAGGCCAGCCTGAATTACATAGTGAGACTTCATATCAATAAGCAAGAATAAAATAAAATAAAATAAAATCTTGATTAATACATAAGAGGTTTTTTTTTTTCCTGATGGGCAACAGAATTTAAATGTGTAAAACTAACTATAATCTATAATGTACTATAAAAACCTCTTATTATGAGAAGGAAAAAAATTTCATCAGGGCATTTGATGACTCATCCTGACCCTTAGAATAGGCCAATCAGGTGCTGCAAGCAAATTTGATTACCCCTTAGGACCAGTGGCTTTATCTTGAGATTTTCAACTTCATGAGAATGCATCTTGTCTGTTGGGTTTTGTGAGTGGGTTGGGGTGGGTGAGTGGGATAGTGGGATGAAGCATGGACAAGCTGTCCTGAGACACTGACTCCAGCCCTCTTACAGCCTTTCCAAGCAGATGGTTGGTGTGACACCATTAACAATCGCGCCTACTGCAATTATGATGGGGGAGACTGCTGCTCTTCCACACTCTCCTCCAAGAAGGTAAGTGAAGGTGCCAGGGAAAGGGGAGGGTCAGTAGCTTCAGCAATTAAGGCAGGCTCTTTGACTATCTCTCCTTCATGGTGTATCATACTTGCTTCTTTTGCAATAGCCTGGCAAGGAGAATACAAAAGTATAATTAGAGATTGTAAAGTGCCAGGATTAAGGGTACTGGTGTGTAGTACAGATATTTAGGAAATACTAGTGTCCTAAATTGTCAATCTACCAGAAAAGCAATGATGTTTTTCCTACTGAAAGCCTCATACCTGGTTATGATTATCCAAAAAACTTCTCTGTAGACATGGAAAATATTGTTCTCCACCTCTTGAAGATTCTGGATTACCAATGAAATACTGCCCGGTTATTATTCATCCTCATAGTTAAATAGTCTTTTATAGTGTCTTACAAATATATTGTAGGCACATTTCGAGTGGCTGCCACAAGCCACCTGGAGCACTCCCTGGATTACGTCTGAAGCAGTAATCCATTTCTTGATGTTTTATATCCCTGTTATTCTTGGCTCTATTAAATTAGCAGATAGGCTCAAGTTGAATCTGTAAAATTGAATAGGTAAAAGTTTTGTAATAATATGGGTAAAAATCCAAGTACTCCAAGGATATTTAAAGCTAGTTGGCCAATTTGATGAATCAGAAGTAGGCAGATGTTATTTCCTTCCCTGTAGGAGTGTCCACAACAAAACTATATCTACCGTGATCACCTAGATATGGACCTGAATATTACACCTCTTTCTTGCTATAGTTACTGATCATTCACTATGTGCTGGGCATTATTCTCACCACTCTCATGAGTTAACTTGTTTAATTCAGTGCACCTAGGAGTTCATCATATTACTGTTCAATTTGGCCCTATTTGCTCTAAAAACCAATAAATCCTGAAATAAGAGAAACAGTTCAAGAGCTTAGACCACAGGTCAGAAATCAGGCCAGCTGGTTAGTTCTAGCCTTGCTTGTGAAACTGACTAGTCAAGAAACCCGTCTGTATAAAAGGAGACATGATCACTTAGGAAGAAAGAAAGCAATTCTCCCTCCATCTTACACTGAAAACTTAGGATTTATCCTTAGTGAAGTTCAGTGCCTGCGGCTAGTGTACACAGGAATCAAGATTGCAGAGGACATCACCACCCTGTTGATGACTAAATCACATTTTATTTCATTTGTGCAAATACGCTGGGAAATTTTCCTAAACAACTCCACCCATTCTCCAACCCACTTGCCCAATCACCAAGCCCATCTCTTCATCATATTTGGAGTAGTGTTGTATGTGATATGCGTGTTTATTTTTAGCTCTTTGGGCTGTCGTTGCCCAAAAGGTAGAATCTTTGTCACTTTTAGATCATTTTCCAAAATGCCAAATTCTCCTTCATGCTGTTTATGAACACATAAAAAGTAGCGCTTCTTTTAGGAGAACTATAAGTGAGAGGATAGCAACTTTTGCTGGACCATCTCCGGCATGGGAGAGGCATAACTACATAGAAGAAAGGTAAGACAGATACAAACAATGAATGACAGACGCATTATCTTACCACCCTAAAACCTCATGCTTTTGAAGATATCAAAGATGACCCTGCTATCCTAAGAACAGGGAGAGTAGGAGTCACAAGGCTATGCTATAGAGTCTGGGCTTTTTACACAGTACTGTCATTATCCTGGGTTAAATCACTCCATCTTTGACCTTCTCAATACAGGGAAGCATTTTAGAGCAGGGATTTTATAAAAATGATAACAGCAACAGAAACAATGATAGTGAAAGTATTCCTAACAGTAGTTATGGATATCTGGCAATATATACATGTCTTATATTCATCACTTTATTTAAACCTTACAAACACTCCCTGGGGGTAGTCGCTGTTGTTCTTCTCACTCTGTTTACAAAGAGAGTGAAGCAAGGAAGGATTTCCTCCTCCCAAATGACAAGGTGTGTAAGTGACAGTGCCCAGAGCTAACTTCAAATATAAGATAATCCCACCTTTCCTCTGGGACCAAGGGAGGAAGTGAAAGCTGGTTCAAAACTGTGAAGCTTGTTGCTAAGAATGGGTTATTTCAACTTCTCTTCCGTTCCCCTAGGTGACTCCATTTGCTGCTGACTGTGACCAGGATGAATGCACCTGCCGAGACCCCAAGGCGGAAGAAAATCAGTAGCTGTGGGACTGGACTCCTCTCTCATCTGCCCTGGAGGCAGTCAGAGAGAGAAGTTTCTGAGGAAGGAGACAAAGGGTGAAGAAGGAAGAAAGGTCACAGAATTCAGGAAGTAGACAGTGTGAAGGATCTTTTCACAAATGCAAGCGTATATTTATAGGTGCCAACAAATGCATCCAGTAGCTCAAATAGGGAAGAATGATAGCAACACTTTCTTTAATGTGGCGATTGATTAACAGAGAAGGGAGAGATGTGATGGATAAACAAGGACCCTCCTCCCATCTGTATTCTACTCAACCCCATCCTCAGCTCTTGCTCTACTCCCCACTGTGTACCTTGTCAACTACTCAGCCTCACCCAGTGAGCAAACCATTATCAAAATACTAGAAGAGAAGTTGCCAGGGTCACTCTGTTAATAACCATTTCAAATGGGCTGTCATCTTTCAGGGCTTGTCTGCTCTAATTGGCCCTTCCCCTTTCTTTTATGTAGTCTCTCTTAAATAATGAGGTTAGTTATTAATTCTTTATAAGTATTTAAACATAATTATATAAATATATTATATATTATATTTTTTGCTGTTTACTAAGCTAAAAATTATCCGTTGTTCCACACATGCTGCTGTGAAGTTCAAGTCCAAGGTGGATGTTAAGGCTTTGAGAACAGAAAGTCAATTTCTCCTGCCATCTTCTTATGAGTAGGGATTGGCAGGTTGAATGGGAAATGGAGAAAGAACCAGGAAGAGATAAACGTGGAATTCTGAATGCTAACATGTCAGCCAACCATCTGTGTGACTTGGGAACCAGTCAAAAAGATAGCAGGAGGTGATAGTTGGAATGACAATACCAAGAAAAACAGAAAGTTGGGTGTTAGTGCCCCATGGCTGATGGGTCCAGAAGAACTAGAAAATGATTTTTGAATATCTACCAAAAAAGAATTTGTTAACATCTCCCAACTTCTTAGAACTCTCAGCTGGAATTGGTGAGACCCAGGGTTTTCTCCACTCCCATATGTAGCTATTCCAGGCACGGCTGTCAGCCCCCGAGTCAGTGAGCAAGTTTGCATGAAGGTTCATTCTCTGAGTACCTGGATCATAGGAGCTAACACATTCTTCACACTTAGCCTGTGGTCTCTCTCCTTGTCAGAAGCCCCAGTGCCTGGCCATCAGTCACAACCACATCGCCAGTTGTTTATTTTCTGAGGAGTAATGTTTTGGAAATGACATGGGAGAAAGATGGGAAGAGATGAAAAAACAAGCAAGAGTGGAGGAGCCAAAGGAGGTCACAGAGAGGTAGGAGGTCAGGGATAAATCAGGGCTGAGAAAGAGCATGGCACGAGTCCAGGAGACTCAAGTCCAAAGCTCCAAAGAAGACGTTTGAGCAATGCAGGGTCTGAGGTGAATTCTATGCAAGAGTAATGCATACAATCTGTGCCCCAGAGATTTGAGTTTGGGCAAGCTCTGGAAATACATGGAGCAAGGGTGACACTCTGTGGGAAGAAAGAAGAATTTCAGCTGTGTAGGATCCATTTTGTTATCTTTACTCCTCAGTCAGCAGAGGGGCTGCACTAGAAGTGAACAGATTAATCCTTCCTCTCTCTGTATCTCAGACTCATTTTTATTTTTTTGCATGTGGTCTTATTGCAGTCTTCTTGTAAGTTTCTGGATTAGGCCTTAGGGGAAAAAAGAAAGGGTGCAACTTTGCACCCTGTCTTATCATCTTAGGAGGGACCAATGAGCCTCATTTCCTTCAACGTTAGTTCTCCAATGGAAAACAAGAGCAGTAAAACCTAGAGCTCAGCTTCGATCTCTCTGTGTCATCTGCTCTTCACTCTGACTAGTTTTTCTACTCTTCCCTTCTACGTGGAAGAAATGGCTTTGCAAGAAGGAAAAGAAAATATTATGCATTACCGACAAAATAGTACCCACACTATTCTGTAGGAAAGGATGTTATTCTAGAATTAAATTATGAACATATGGTTTTACACCTTTTTATCTGTACTTGCAGTGAGGACAGCAAAGTCACTGGGGAAAAGGCAGAGCAAAGTTTGCCCATCTGAAATCTCTTGCCCTCCATATCTGGCCATAGGGGAAACTACATGCTAACTAACATTCATTGTCTGGGTCACATTTAGTGGCCCAGAGCAGACAAGAAGCATTTATTTCTGGGATCCTAATAGGACATAAAATGGAAAGGACAGTGGAAAAGTTTAGAGTCTCTATTTTTAAAAAAACAAAAATGAAAAAAACACATTGTAAAATTGTTTTCTTGGGGAACAAATCCAAATTCCTGGGCATGTGTCAAGCTCTGCCTTGGGCAATCCTGCCTCCGATTGAGGGACGAGAAGAGCTCTCCTAGACATTGCCCAGTTCAGGAAGGCTACGGGTTCCCCAAGAACACAGAACCTGTGGTGGGTGCCCACCCGTGTGTGTCTCTGTTCAGTCTCTGCATAAGAGTAAGAAGGACCACATCCCTGTGTTGTCCTTCATTTTAAAATATCTTGCGCTGTACTGACAACATGTGCAGTTCACAGCTGCTCTGGAAAAGACTAGAGGACAGTTCTTGTTGTGTGGGGAAAGCCCATCAGGCTGAGAGCCACTCAGCTAGAGCTAGCTACAGACATTCATAGGTGGCATGTTCTTTCAGTCCTTGTCCCCAAGTCCGAGTGTTTTGAGGAACTCAAGCCACTCACAAAGTCAAAGGATTAAGACATCATGGTCACAGATTCCAGGGGCAACAGCCTACACTTGTTCTGTGCAGTGACCTGTATTCTTCTGGTCTTATCCACTCTCAGAGCCATTGAGGGTCTTTCCCACAGCTCGTCTGTCTCTTTGTTTCCAATCTCTTCAATCTTTTCTTTTTTCTAGTAAGTAAGGGGTCTGGTGTTCATGTTGCCTGGGGGTGGCTGACTCTGCTCACTGGCTCTACAGCTTCCAATCAAAGAGACACAGAAGAGATGTCTCAGTGAGGAGAACTGGTAGCTCAATGAAATAAGGAAGCACAAAGCTATTGAGGCGGGGGGATCTCTCCTTCCCTTTCCTCCATTACAAAGCGTTGGACTTGGCACTTCTGTGCGATCGCTATTGAGTGTGTCAGTTAGCACCCAAGGGGATAGTTTGATTGAAAATATAGTGAAAGAAGCTGATCTACTGTATTGTAACGTAAAACAGCTATAGCCAGTTATTTTGTAAGATTATAAGATGTTCATTAAAAAAATCTGCACATAAAATATGAAGTGTCTTTGGTGTCTTAGTCTGTGTTTAAATCATTCCATTCCATTTGAATCACTCCATTGGTTTGTGCCAGGTCCAGACATTAGTCGTTGGTTAATTGGTTAAATGATCTTTCCCTGAAGCTATTTAAAGACTAGTTTTTGAGTAAACTGAATGTGTAAAGAAGATTAACATGAAAATTTATGAAAAGAGTTGACACATTAAAAAAAAAGAGTGTTCGGCAGTAATATCAACTGCCTTGTGAGTTGTGAAACAGTCTACAAGAATAATTTGTAGTTCAGAGGAAACAGGCATTCCCTGCTTTGGAAGGTGGTCAGTGAAGGATGCATGTGATTTGTTAGGCAAAAATAAGGTCAGGGAGAAAGCAAAGAGCAAGGTTGAAAGTAATGGAGGTAAGAATGGGAAAGGTGACACATTATTGAACGTCAGTGAGGCATTCAGCTTAGCTAGAAGGTAGAAGTAACCTAATGTATGCCATGCATTTGGGAAACAAAATCTTATCAAATTCCCACAACAGATCTGAAAGTAATGTGTTCTCACTTCACAGAGGAGAACACCAAGGACCAGTGTGGGGAAGAACATTGTTCCAGGTTACATGACCACGCTAGGTTCAAGCTTGGTCTATGGGGCTCTAGGGTGTAGGAAAAGAAAAATTGTGATTAAAAAGAAGGGGAGAGGGGGAGAAAAATATCCAATATGAAACCTCTGCAGCCTATAACCATAATTGTTACTGATAGAGAAAATGATCCAGAAGGACCATTACAAGAAGAGTATACATTTGATTTTTCCATAAATTTGGTTTGGGGACCGAACAGGCAATTAATTGGAAATGTTGTATAAAGCAGTGCTCAGCTCCCTGAGAAGGATTCTGCAGCTGCGATCATCTTGCCAAGGTGTATGGCTGTGCCAGGCACTACCTGGCTGCTTGAAGGGCTACGTGGGCGTCTCGGCTCACCTGTCATGTGGAAAGTCTTGCAAAGTGGGTGGAAACATAAGCTTGGAACTTGGGAGAGAGGTTTATGGCTTTTAAAAAATAAACATTTTATAGTAAAAAAGATTATTAGCTGGCATTTTTGTAATGGCCACAAAGTACTTTCCGATGCTTTATGGTTACCCATAAGCTAAGCAGAATGAGAAAAGTTTTGTTTTTTTCCACTTCACAGTAATGAAAATGGGTGTCAGACAGGTTATTGGAGAATTTAAGTTCTATATCTAAGTACAGGTTGGGATTGGAATCCAAATTTTGTGTTCCCGAGTGTGATACGTTTTCTACTAACCCATATTCATCTCACTACAGCCAAGAGTAAACACAGGTCCTGTCGCAATGGGAAAGTTTAGTACCTTCTTACCTATTTATTTTAAGGTAGTGACAGCCTTGGGGTTTCCTTGTGGCTTTTTTAGTAGCTGAGTCTGTTTCCTCTCCGGCCTGTTGTCCACAGCAAATTGTAGGAAGACAGAAGGCAAGTCTTTCTGAGCACTGTTCCAGGCCCCTCTCCTCATGCCCGGCCCTGAGCAGAAGCAGATGCCCCTGGACATGCCAGTTAGGACAGCTGGACAGAAACATCTGGCAAGGCTGCCTCCTTCTTAATAGCTTCCCCAGGGAGTGTCCTGGACAGAGATTCTGGACTTCTGGTTTCCATTGACTGACAAACTTAAATGACACAATGAGTCATGCGTGTGCTAGGAGACATGCTGCTCCTGGATTCAGGCCTTCCAGGTGATGAGGAGCACCAAGGGGGGCGGGCAGGAAATAAGGCTTACACTTAGAAATAGCCCAGTGCACCTCTGAAACCGGCTTTGGGTCATCTCTTTTTTTGTCACCCCCAAAAGACTACTGATTCTGAACTCCTGATATTTTGATTTCCCAATAGTAGGCACATGATTATCTATGCCCGTAAAAGTGCCACATGTGCCTTGGATATTTGTCCTGGAAAAGGGCAGGGTTATTTTAGAGAATAGATGATTATTGTCAAGACTGCTGTAGTCTGAAACTATCGCGGCTTGAGTGGACACTGCCGGGCAGAATCTATCATGGTGGCCAGAGCACTGAGGGGAGTGTGTGTGTGTGTGTGTGTGTGTGTGTGTGTGTGTGTGTGTGTGTGTGTAATTTGGTACATTTATTCTTGCTGCTGTTTTTTTTTCTGATCCTGCCACACTGGATCTTTAGGTTACATTGCTAAGTGTTTGTCGGAACTGCTATGACAATGGCAGAGTTACATTCTTGGAAGAAACCTACCAGTCTAATCTGGTTAGCATTTCAAATGAATATAATAAAAACATTTCTAAGCTCTGAAAGACAGTTCAGAGTAATAGCAATAGTTCTGAGTAACTGCAATTTGCTAATGTTTTTCAAATCAAATTTTCTTCTAAGGATAATCTAATATAGACAAGCTTCCTTTTCTTTGTCTTTGTCCACATAAAAGTCACTTATTCTAATGCAAAAAAGTAAATAAAGGGAGAGTGTTGACTTTTTAATGACTACCAATCATGCTGTATCAATTTGCCTTTTCTCTCCTTAGGTAACTGCTGTCTGAAACCAGCTGTCTTTTTAAAAAATGTTTATAAACATACAAGCCATATTTCAATCTTACAAAAGGCTGTCAAAGTTAGAAAATTTCCCCATACTACAATTTATGTGCAACTCTGAGTGTTTCCTAAATACAAAGCCGACTAGTGTTAGGACACAAATGCCTTCCAAGTAATGACTTTGGTGGAAATGAATCAACAGCCACTTAACCTGTAAGAGAGCTCCGACTGCTTTTAAAAATAGTCAAATAGGGGCTGGGGGTTTAGCTCAGCAGCACAGCACCTGCCTGGCAAGAGCAAGGTCGTGAGTTCGATTCCCGGTACCAGAAAAAAACAAAACAAAACAAAAAGTCAAATAGGCTCTATGTTGGAAAATACTGCTTATCAACTCAACACTGCTCACGTCTTCTTACCCTGATCAGTGACTTGCCATCATGAAGCTAGGGGCAAGGGTGATGCACTCTGGATCTCAATATAGGGTGGATTGGTAGCCCACGATCCATGAGAGCAGCACAGTGAGCTACAAGGACTAAAAGCTCAAGCTTTCAAGCCTGATAAATCTGAATTTGGACCCTGTCTTCTAAACTAAATAGTCATATACTTAATCTCTGAGATTTAGCCTAAATACCTAATTTTTATCATTGTGCATGGGGTAAGCTGTTCTCTCGAGAAGTTTGAGATTGGAGGGAACTGCCATTTTGTGGATTCTAAATATCCTTCATAGTTTCAAAAGCACCTTGCTACTCTAACACTGGAGGGTTTCTGAGATGGATGCCATTGCCCGTTATCTTCTCAGGATAGTTAGGGCAGATGGAGACCCTGGAGTGGTTGGTTGCCAGATGTTCTAGCCCACCGATTCAGAAAGAAGCAAAATGAATTTGTGAGGTAATAGTGGTAAAGCTAAGCACTGAAGAAAACAAAACAACTAAGGAAAAACTTTGGAATTGGAAAGAATGTTTGTAAACTAAGTTGCTATCTACCTGGAAAATTGCATTAGTTATGTCGGAAGCAGGTTATTTTCTTTAAAAGACAATAGAACTGGTGAATTTCTCCAGTTTGTAGAACACTACTGTCCACTGCAAATGTTTGCAATGATATAAAGGTTCTACATCTGCATTATCCAGTGAAATGGCCATGTCGTTAGGCAGATGTTGTTATCTAGCTCTTGAAGTGTGACTAATGAGATAGAAGAATTCCTTTCAAACTTTGCTTAAGTCCAATAATTAAAATGTAAATAGCCACATGTAACTAGCAGCCACCATATTGGTCAGCACAATTCTAGAATATTACACATGTATCACACTTTGCTTTTAAAAGATACTTTGGGCATGATTTTTAAAATCATGCTTCACACATCTCATGACTGACAGAAGTCTACATCAAGCTCACTTAGATGTTTTGGCTTATATTATTGTGCCTTAGGAAAACAATGTATTAAAAAAAATCTAAAAGTTATACCTACAGAAGCCTCAAACTATCAAAAGGGGAAAAAAATACCCCATACTGACATTACCTACTTATACATAATTTATCTAATAGATAACAGAAGACAGTTAAACCGATGTCTAAATTTGGGTAAATCATACACTGACTAAGCAGCAGTGAACCACTTCACATAAATGAAACGTGAGAAATATCAGAGAGGTACAAAAGAGCCTGAGGTGGCACCACCATGAAGTCGCAAAGCCAGGATTTGCACTCTAGCCCTCGAGTCTGTGGGTCAACCCATTGTGCAATGCTAGAACATTCCATTTCCTAAGGACAGAGATTAGTTATATAAATTTTGACACTTTCAAAGGTCCTCACAAAACCATATTATTCACTACAACATTTCATTCAGCAAGTTGTGCTATTTGACTATACATCAATCTAGTATTCAGAAACTCACTGTCTTCCAAAGCTGTACATTTTACATTTGGACTTCTTTGACCTTAGAGAGGCAAAAAATGCTGGTAACATCATGGTTGCAGTCAACAAATTTCTATCCAGCAATTATGTTGAACAGGTACTAGGGATTCGGTGGTGAGCAAATCAGAGCAAGTCTCTGCCCTCAAACAGCTTGAAGAGAAGTTGAAAGAGACAATCAGTGTGCACTTAAGTATATACATCAGCTGGCAGAAAGTGCTGTGAAGGAAATAAGATATGGTAGGGCTGAAGGGTGTCCTGGGCTGGGTATGGGTGCCAGTTTTTGCAGGGAAGATCCCTGAGCTTTGCGGGTGGGTGAAGGAAGTGAGTGAGAGCTTCTCAGTGCCCACACACAAGCCCTGTACCACCTCCCTGTCTCTCACAGCCACCATCCTCCTTCACAGATGCCCTACTGTCCCTTGATTCAGGCGAGAGGCACCTCCTGGGCAGGCCCACAGTAACATCTCCAAGTAAGGCTCCCTGTTTACTGCTCTGCCCTCTGGTTCATCCTGTACACTGAGTCTGCGGCATTCCTGCTACCGTGCAGCTCTCATGGGGTTGTACA